ACTTTGCGGGGTTAAATCATGTATCAGAAAACAAGAAGGCACGGAACTGTGCTTGATCACGCTGTTTCGTGCCTGCTTTTCGGCTGGATATCTGATTTGACATCGTGCTACTAAATTTTACCTTTTGCTTCCAGTTTTTATGATAACTTTGACGAACAGTAAATTTACTCACTCTGTGGGTCTTCCTGTTTGTTGGGTGTATTGTTCAGCGGCCGATTCAACGGAATAAATGTTCATAGGCGAATTATACTGAAAAATAACAAGCAACAACGTGACGACCCTAGATTTCGCGTACCTGAAGATGCTGGACAGAAGCATAAGGAGAAAGTTCGTTTCGTGTTCGTGGTGAAGGTGAGCGGTACGGAACTTTAGTTCCCCCTATGTTTATTATCAATATTATTCAAGTCACATTATGTGATTCGTATTTTACCAGGAGAAACACCACCAGGATGAAGAGTTGGTGAATGAGATGTCTGAATATACGTAGCTTGATTAAGTGGTAGTCCTCCGGAACCAGATTTATAGGCAGTCGTGGTGGCTCCGTTATTGAAACTTAACTTGCATCAACACTTATTTATATTCAAATAATTGATTTCGTGAAGCACGATACCTATAGTTTTGAGCTGCTGCAGGCTGACGCGTATCACTCTGAGCTGTGTGGTGTCGTTGTGAACCAAAATTTGTAGTGTACGTAGGGTTCACATTTGATTGTCCTTTATCGCTTACAAAAGGCGCCGGAGTCGACGTATCAGATGTAAAGTTCGTTTTTGCATGGGTGGAGTAAGACGGGCGCTCATTTACCTGTGAATAGAAAGGATTGCCAAATAATGGTCTAAGAAAAGTAAAAAATATAGCTGTAAGCAAAAAAATATGTTTGCTCAAAACTAGAGAAAATGCTCAAATTGTGGAATGAGACTTACGTAAGTGTTCGTGTTTGAAGCATTATAATTGGATTGCTGATGACGAGAATACGAAGAAGGGCTATGATACATTCGTGGCTGACTATTC